GACCACACATACTGTATGTTTGTTATAATATTTGATACCAAAGCAGAAACATCAGATTCTTACTAAAACACACATGAAATGCAGAGCCTGTCAAAGGAACTCCCATCACTAATTTAGAGATATCTGTTACAGATTTAGAGAACTCAGTAAGGTTGACAATATTGTATTACAAGAAAGACATGCTTTTATTGACTATATAATGTGCTATGATTTCTATAATTATATGTATATAGGTGAAATGAATACAACATTGACCTTCTTGTTATTAAAACTGGTATATTCTCAATATGACACTTAGGTACCACCTTGTCAGAAGAATCGAAGAAATTTTCTGGTCCTCTGTAATGAAGCATCTACATTGGATAGCATTGGACTGCTAACCCCAAGGTCGGTGGTTCAAACCCATCTGCCACTTCCCAGGAGAAAGCTTTGTCCATCTGCTTCTAGAAATATTTAGGACCCAGGAAACTGTACACAGGGTCACTCTGAGTTGGAATAAACTAGATGGTAATGGGATGGGGTGGGGTGAGCTAGATCATTATCATTATTACAACAGGACTGGGAGAGATGCGAGGTGGAATGACCATCCTTGATTTATTTGGCATTAATAATTATGTCAGTAGGATGACTTTCATTATTTGTTTAGCATCTGCTTACAAAATGTCTCCACTCAGTGTCCGGCACAATACATCAGAGAGGTGCATTGTATGTTGTGAGTGTGTGTTTCAGCCGGCAGGTGGTAGAGAAAACACAGTCAGGATGGTTGAAGTATGAGCTCTTCCTTGAAGGAAGAAGACTGGTATCATGGGTGGAAGCCTCCATGAATCTGGCATAGCACATGAAAACAAGGGAGTGTTGAGACCATAGAATGGCACACCACCTTTCGGCTGGAGCCACCGCCTTGCAGTGACTTGCCAAAATGAGGAACACCACGGGCAAGAGGAGGCCCCCCGCTCCATGTTCTCCAGGTCCTTCAGAAAACACAGCGTTTTCCACTGGCCACATGCATGGGGAGCTACAAGATTGTGAACATCAAGGGCACGCGCACTGTTCAGAAGGGAATGCTGCAGAAATGGTAAAACGGCAAAACCGACCACGTCTACAACGTGACCCAGCCGCTGGTGTTGTGAACAAACAAGTGAAGGGCGAGATCCTCGCCAATAGAAGTCCTGCGCGCAGGGAGCACAATAAGCACTCGAAGAGCAGGGGCAGCTTCCTCAAGTGCGTGATGGAGAAGGTGCCGAAGAAGAAGGAGGCCATGGGAAAGGGCACCCGAGTACAGTTCAAGCTCCAGCCCACCCCTGCCCCAGAGAAGCCTGGGTTGTGCAGACCAAGGGGAAGGAGCATGGGCTGTTGGAGCCCATCCCTATGTGCTCCTGGCCTGCACTGTATGAAATACAGCTGCTCCTGGAGGGGGAAAAAAAAGAACAGCAAGCCGTGGGTTATTCCAAGAGCATAGTAGGCTGCTAACCACGAGTTCAGCAGTTTGAAACCACCACCTCTCCGAGGGAAAAAGATGAGGCCTTCTATTCCTATAAAGAGCCATACTATGAGAAACCCACAGGCGTCGTTCTACACAGCCCTATAGGGTTGCTATGAATTACAACAGACTAAATGGCAGTGAGTTTGGTGTTTTGGTTATACACTACCATAAGGTGTTTGTAGCACTTCAAGGAATATTAATTTTTTTCCTAAAACACTTTAAAGATGTAATAGTTATAACAGATAGTACTGGGATAGAGATAGATTAAATTAATGAAACAGAACAGGAAATGGAAAAACAGTAGAAAATCTTGATGATGTATCTGTGAAAGTTTTAATATATGAAAAAGCATTTTGAATTAGTGGATGAAAGGTGGATTTTCCAACAACTGGTATTTGGATGCACTGCATAGCATCCATTTGGGCAATATCCAATGGTATATATAGTCATGGTCCCATAAGAGTTGTAAGAGATCAGAAACCCCGATTGGAGTATTAGATGTAGTGCACATGACTGGACATATGGAACACATCCATTCTGTGCATGCAACATGTATGTTTTATGTCTCCAATACACAAAATGATTGCGCTACTAGGCATATATAGTACAGTACATGTATAAGTATGTAGCTCATAACATATGTCTTGATCATCATAAAAACACTATGTTAGCAATATATTGGGAGATTTGCAAGAGTTAAAGGCAACAGAGGCAAATACTGTTACACACACGATATTGCAATAATGGAGGTCTATGAGTAGATGCTTAGATAGAAATGTTAGGTGAACAGGTGTGAGTGGAGAGTGGGAGTATACTCATGAATATATACGGTTATATATTTAGAGATATTTGACAGGGGATATTTGTATATGTGTATTTCTCTTTATTGTAAATATATATGTGAATGTGGTAAAGTATACAGGAGACAAAGCTATTAATACTTCTTAGACATCACCAAACTCCTTGGGGAAATGAGTTGCTGGGCGTGGGGAATCAAGACCACAGGCTAAGAGGACACCAAAGTTAATGGCATAATATAATTCACAAAGACAATGTTCTACATCCTACTTCAGTGAGTAGCAACTGGGGTCCTAAAAGCTCATGAAAAACCATTGTCTTAGTCAGTCAGGAGGAAAGAAGAGTAATGAAAATCATACGACATAGGAAACAATTAGCCCAATGGACTAGTGAATCATCCAAACATCAGTCTCCACAACACAACTTTGAAAACAGAAGTACTAGATGGTGCCCAACTATCACCACCAACTGCTCCAATCAGGATCCCATTGGAAAGTCCTGGATTGAATGCCAGAAAAATATGGAACAAAAATTAAAATAATGAAGAGACCAGGCTGGCTGGTCAGCAAGAGATAGGTGGGACTCTTGAGACTTTGGTCCTAAGTCACCCTTCAGGGCTAGGACTGAACCCATGATGTGATAAAATAATCAACCACTTAGGATCAAAAGAGAAGCATTAACCCAATGACAAAGTTCTGAGGATTAGGAAAGAAGGCTATACATGTACAGAAAACACGGGGAAAATTTGGAATAACTAACGTATATTGGGGGAGTTGCAATGGATGAGTTGAAACAAGATGCGTATGAATTATTGAATGTAAAACTGATGGATCACTCTCTAAATATTCCCTTAATTCACAATAAAGTTTTAAATAAATAAATAATAAAACAAAACAAAAACCATTTATGTTACTGGCTTATTAATATTTTGTCATTTCTATTGTTATTTCAACGTGCACGTTCCCTAGTAACAAACAAAAATCATGCTGTATAGTCATGCAAGAAACCCTGTCGGCACTGCAAGCTAGGCTTGGACTGCTGACCACAAAGTCAGTGGTTCGAACCCACAAATCACACTGTGGGAGACAGATGAAGCTGTCTGCTCCCTTAATGATCCACAGTTTTGTAAGCCCTATAGGATTACTATGAGTCAAGACTGACTTAATGATAGTAGATTTCCTTGGTTTTAGTATAACAGTGTTGTTTCAACTCACAAATAGCAACATGTAATTTGGTATAATGTGTATATATTGAGTTGTAGTGTTCCTGTTTAATTTTATTTCTAAAATATTATCATGACGTGTGTCATGGCTCCCACATGCAACAAAACCAGAGCTAGTGATAGCAGCAGCGAGAGACAAAGAAAAGCAACAATTCGGAAGTGACACCAAGGTCATTAAATAAAGTTGGACAATCAGCGAGTACTTGCAATTTAGGGATGTTCACAACACCCACACAACATTCTAATTCACAGAACTTATCGTGGCCCTTAAGCTATGGGTGATTGTATTTGAACATCAAATTTAATTTCCACATACCAACAACCCAAACCAAACTTGTTTCTGTCGAATAGATTCCAACACACACAGCAACCCTATGGAAGCGAGCAGAGCTAGCGATTCCAAGCTATGGAGAGGGTCCCTGAGGGTGCTTTGCTGTAATGCCCAGCTATAAACCCAAAGACTGGCATTTCAAACCCACCAGCTGTTTGGTGGGAGAAAGATGGGACCCTCTGTTTCCATCAAGATTTACTGCCTTGGAATCCCTAGGGACAGCTCTACTCTGTCCTGTAGGGTCAACATCATTTGCAATTAGATTTGACAGCAATGTATTTGGTTTTGGGGTAACCTTTATGTAAACAAATTACCACATCATTCTCCTGGGAAGTGGCTGGTATGTGTTCGAACTGACAACCTTCCACTTAGCAGACAAGTGCTTAACCAAGTTGTCACCATGGCTCTTTCCCGTATACCATACTACACCTTAAAGACTCTCAGCTGGATTAATGATGTTAATGTAAAATAACACCAGAAGAAAATGTTTGTAGAGACTGAATATACTGGCTATGATGATGATGATTATTGATTTTGTAATAATTAGTATATTCAACCAATTCTCTTGTGAAAACTATCCAAAGCAAATAGAATAATGCCCTTTGGAAAATTACGCTAAATGGAGTCTGTAATTGAATCTACATATTGCGAGCAATTTTAGCTGATGCAAGCAAAAGAGCGCAGTTATCTGATCATCTAACACATAATCCGAATAACGAATGGGACCCATCCCTTTGGACACAGATCTGTGTTGGGCCCCTATTCCTAAAATGAAGGAGGGGTAAGTGCAGAGAGCTACAGTTAGAAGAACCCTGTAAATCCTTTATGCCTTAAAGCCAGCTTTGCCCTCTAGTCGTTGAATTAATTCTTAGTGTCCCTTTGTGACACTTTCCGTGGTGTACATATTCAGTTTTCAATTGTTTCATTAGATAAAACACAACAAAGGAGGGCAGTAATTAAAATAAAAATTTCCTCCCTACCATGACTAGGAAAACAAACCATTCAAATGAGAAAACCTATTAAGGAAACCTTTGTGAGGAACTATATTTAACTCTACCTCCGAAAGTAAAACAGTTACCGAGCGTTCACCAATATAAGATTAATTGTACATGCAACCCCCACCCCCACTATCAACATACAGTCCACATATAAAGAAGCATACATACCCTTCTGTTCGGAAAATCACTCGAAAACTGTCTCCTAAGCTTTTGTAACGGTGGAGATCAGTCACGCCTCCCTGAATCTGGAACCTAGAAACAAAATCCAACAAACAAACAAATAAAAACCCGAGTTAAGGGTTTTTGTCAAATGGCTTTTCTCATTTTTTCAAAGTGTTATAAAACAGTCTTTGCAAATTAATCTATAATATTTTAATCTTTGTTATAATTTATATTACTTTACTTTGCTTACATAATCTTTACCTTATTTCCGTAGCTTTTAAAATTCAGATATTCACTGTATTTTAATAGAAGCTATAACAATAAATTTTTTCATCTGCTTCTTAGACAGGGAGATGCACCCTGAGGCATGCATCCTTCCCCCCCCCACCTTTTGTGAAAAGGATACACAGATGTCATAGATTGTTTTAATGTATAATTCAGAATTCTGAAGATGCATATGAAACAAATAAGTAGCTCACTTCTTATCTTAATTAGTGTTGCTTGATGATAATTTAACACAAAGGTTAAAAACACAGGTAGCTAAACTAATATGGTCTAATTTTGATCCTCGTGATGAATTTGGAATTCCTTCTGGCAAACAGCAGCATGTTCTTAGAGTAAGCATTGAGGTCATATTGCTATCTAGCTTTTTCGCAACACTTCACAATGGAACCAGATTGGTGGTTGTAGCTAGTTCAGCCTACCTGGATCTCCACAGAAGCACAGTGTTATGCACATAGTTCAAACTAAAAACGCCCACAATTAATATCATCAAGTCATTTGTAACATATAGCAACCCTATAGCACAGAGTACAACTGCACTTGTGGGTTTACAAGACTGTAGCTTTTTATAGGAGTAGAAAGCCTCATCTTTCTCCCTCAAGTGGCTAGTGGTTTCAAACTGCTGACCTTGCAGTAGAACTAGTAACTAGTTTCGGTTAGGAGCTGAACTCATACCTACTAAGCCACCAGAGCTCCATTGCACATCGTTTGATATTTTTTGACAAGTACGGTCCCGCTCCTCTGCAGCTCTTTATTCTCTGTTCATTCGCCTACTTATTTATTTTTTGTGTTTTTCCCAATGCTGAGAGAAGACCCTTCTTTCTTCTGTGTTTTCCTCCACAAGTTTGCCAACTATTTTAAAAATTACTCTCCCTCAATCACCTCCAATATTATTTACCTAAAGATACTCTTCTCAGGTTCTTAGCGATATGATAGGAACACGACTTTGGCCTACAGGAATGACATATTTGATAGTTCTAGACATCAAGTTATTATCCTGAAAACAGACCCACAGGGAAGAGTGGCTTTGGCTGAAGCAGCTGAATATATTAAGGCGGTGACTGCATGAGAATGCTGGTGAGAGGAGATGAAGGAGGGCTGGTGTGTTTGAGCAGGGGAGTCTCTGCTCAGAGATGTGAGGTCGAGTCTCCCTGGAGAGTGCTCGGCACATACAACTTCCTAAATAAATATTTGTTGACTGAGTGAATGGTTTAGAATAAGAACATGGAGGGATGAGTACTTAAGCAGGCAATGCAACAGTCCAGGGTCAAGATAATGATGTTACAGCTTGAATGGAAGCAACACAATGGAAATCAGATTGTTGATCAGTCTTTGTTTCTGTGAAATCTTTTTCTTTGGGGGGGGTGATACATTCATGCTTCCTCCTTGATTTTCAACAAGCAATATTCTACATGTTCACCCATCATTGCCGAAGTTTAAAATATCACACATCTTTTCCTTCATGATGGTTTTGTTCAACAAATACCGATACTGGCATTATCAGTTTTATCAAGCTAGTTTCTAGTCAAGAGCTCTTATCGCTTTACTTTCGAATGCACAGAAACTATCAGAAGACCATGAGATAGTTATATAAGTAATTCACTTAAACCGGCACGGTTCTTTTTCTCGATCCAGAGGCGCATCAGGTGTGCACATAATCCCTCGCCTGAAATCACAGGAAGGGTCTTTTCCTGTGTAGGATCTAGAAACTGACTTGACAATCAGGTACACTCACCAGGTTTGAGTATTTCTGGACTGCAACTTTGGAATGAGATAACTTAACACATGGGGTACAAATGAGTTAACACTAAACACAACCAAAAAAAGATATCATACAACAAATAACTTTGGAACATAGAGAAATGTCCAAAATACAGCTTTGGTTCTAGTTCAAGTATTTTTTTTTTTGCATTTTCATATGCCTAACCTATTTTCATTGCTGAGTATGAAAGTCATTCTAATGTCTAATTGAAACACTGAGACTCTTCTCTAACAATCATGTTAAGAAAATTATTTTTAAGTATTCATATACATTATAAAAGGATTTCATGCTCAAGGATTTTTCTCATCATGTCTTTGAATAATCTTTCATTAAAATCATTTTCCTCAGTCAATGCATTTCTCCCAAACCATCAAATATATTTTTAAAATATTTTCCATATGCTACAAAATGCTAAGGTTAAAAAAAAAGTCCCAAAACACATCAGGGCATTATCTCACTCTCAAAAGTATGAAACAAATATGAGAAAAAATAATTAGTCGATAGAAAAAACTCCCCAAATGTCAAGTAGCATCGGCAGTGAGTTGCCCAGGTGTTCATCGGGGGAGCAATTACTGTTTGCTGTTGAGGGTCAGGAAGGGTTTCAGGAAGGAGAAGGGATTTGAGCTGGTCCTCATGGGAGAGGCAAAAGAGTAAGCTGGGGAAGACGTGTTCCAGGTGGGGAAAGGATGGAGACAAAGGCCAGTGCGGGGAAGGCTGTCCTCTCACACGGGGCAAAAGACGTGAGGGGAAAGAGATCATCCCGAATAGCCGTCTGTCTGGCCCACATCCCTTCAGGTCAGCTGTTTCAGGCACCCTCGGGGCCTCCTGGGCTGGGTGGAGACCTGAGCTGGTTAGATGGGGGTACTCCTGAGATAAAGTCAAAGCCAAACATAGAGCATTTGACCTCTTTTTGCTCCTTAGCAGACCCTGTTTGCCAAGTCAGCTAGGCCGTATCACAATTCTGTGATTCTAGTTCACAGGTCCTCAAACTTACCATCATCTTTTCAGGAAAACAACAACAACAACAATCTCAGTACCCCCTGGCAATTATATATATTTGTACAGCAGCCCATAATCCAGGATAAAATGTGGGTATGCCCCTCCCGCCCCCCGGGCCTCCTGAGCTTTTCCAGTGCACCTGAAGGGGTGGTATCACCCACTTTGAGAAACACTGCCCTAGTCCTAGAACGGATTATGAAAGAGGCAACAGATGGACCAAACAAGTGTATGATAATAGTTAGATAGTATACAAGGGGGCTTCAACAAGTTCATGGGAAAAATAATTTTATTTCCATTTCAACTTTTCCCACGTTTTGAAGCCCCCTCTTACCTTTGTCCCTCTTTTATTGCAGAGTTACAAGTATTTAACTTTGTTTTGATGTCTGTATACCACTCAGATAATACTAAGGTGGGTCTTCAGTCAGGTTCTGTAAGTGTAATTAGTTCATCTACAACTAGTTACCTAACTTCATTATTGAAAGAACCCAATATTCCCAATGCCTTATTCATTCTATGGATGAAAGTTCCTGATCAGTTACTATTAGGCACTCCACTATTTGGGGGAGTTACCAAAATAAATATGATATAACTCTGCCTTTTAGAAGCTTCTAGGTAGGTGAAGGGGATGTGCATAGATAATGATTACTACATACAAGAAATAGTGGTTAGGAAGAGGATTTCAGACACCAGTCAGTGAGTTTAACTGGCACTAACTAACCATTAATAGCACCGTTATTATGGGTGATCACCTGACCCCATAAGTGGAGTTGGGCTGACAGGAACTAGTATTTCATAGAGCCATTGGAAGGAAGAGGAGAAACAAGGGAAGAGTATCATTGGGCTAAATATCTGTGATTGAATGTATTCCCCCATTTTAGAACAGGCACCACCGACAGTGAGATCTTCGATGGGTACTCCATTTATGCAGCTGACCACCTGATGAGTGATCTGTGTTAATTACAAACATGCACGGCAGCATCAAAATAACATGGCATGAGAATAAGTTGAGTTGTATGAGCAATGTGGAAGGATGGGTAGGCATGGGGAATGATAATTCCCCAGTAAAGCCTCCCCACCAGTCTTTGCTTTTCCAAAGGAGCTGAAGGTCCTTTAAGCAAGCTAAGACAAGTCCAGTCGCCTCTTCTACTGTGCATCTCACATGCAGCATGTCAGCACTTTGCAGAGAAAGTACACACGGCATTTAGTTCCACTACACATGACTTATTCTGATCACAGAGTTATCAGTTCTTCTAAGGAATCTGTTTCAAGTTGCTGTAATTATAGTGCATTTTGGCCAATCATGTAAAACAGCAATTTCCTTCTTCCTCTCCACTACATTTCAGCAACTTAAGAAGGTTTCTCTTCTGGACTGAAGCTTGACATCAGTGTTTTCCAAGCTGCATTTTGCGCTAACAAATTCTCTCTATGCTCAGGGAGACAATTTTCCAGTTACGTAATCCAACTCTTTGCAAAATTACAAAGGCAAAGGCACACTACTCTTGATTGTACTTAGAAGAAAAGGTTGGACCTTTCCATTGTCCTAATAAAAGCAGCTTAGACACATCTGGAATCTCCATCTGAGAAACTTCTTTTATTAGAATGAGAGCTTGCTGCCAAACTGGCAAAATGGACAATGGGGCAGCGTTCAAGAAGTATTCACTGTCCAACATTTGTTCAGAATCAAACCTAAGGGGATGACTGTAGCCTAAACCCATTGCTACACTGCACAGGAGCCGGCCAGCCAAGCCTCAGCAGTGCCCATGAACACCGTGCCATGTACTCTAGGATCCCTTGTACCATAAATATTAAGCAAGTTACCATGGTAACCACTAGGGCAAGGAAGGACGTCTCAAAGTCCACAGACAAATGCACAAGCATATGTATATTTTAAAGCCAAAGAGTGTTCTCACTCCTGAAAAGTTTTCCTCTAACCTTGTCAAGAACCATGACTATAGCATTTCTCGGCTTGAACTGTTAGGTTTACCTAGTTACCAACTTTTGAACGACTCCATTGCTGACTTTCAGCATAGTTAGCCCTCCCACTTCT